AGTAGAATCCAGAATGTCAGTTTTGGTCGCCGTATCAACCCCCCCCCCCCCCAAAGTACACCTTACATTTTGCAGGGTTTACAACTAAACCAGTGGACTGAGAGAAAATATGCAGTTTGGTCATGAGCAGCTTCACAGAATGGGCATCCCCACGGGTGAAGAGGAGGACATCATCGGCAAAACTGATGTTGATGATTTGCAGCCTCTCACATTTATCATGGAAATTGTAGTCCGGTATCTTTCTTAGCTGGTGCAATAAACGGTGGAAATACTCCATAGTTATGACAAAGAGGAAAGGGGAGATAGGGTCACCTTGTCGAAGGCCCCTCTTAGCTTCCATACATCTAGTAATGCTTCCACCAACCTTAAATTTATAAGACACAGTTGATACTGCCAGCATAATCCATTTGGTGAATTTTTTAGGGAAACCCAATTCCTTGAGTATGCACTCAAGAGCATTCCAATCCAGTGTGTCATAAGCTTTTTGGATGTCAAGTTGCAGCAGACATCTAGGAGTACTGCCTGTTCTGGTGTAGCCTTGGATAAGCTCATATGCTAACAAAATATGCTCATGGATGTTTTGCCCTGGAATAAAAGTCGCCCGCTTTGGTTAATAATTGTGGTAAGGACTGTACTCAATCTTCTCGTCAAGATTTTAGATATGATTTTTTAGATGGTGGTACAGCAGGAGATAGGTCTGAAATCCCTCACACACTTTCCACCATTTCCTTTAGGAACCAGAGAAACAAGGGTACAATTTACAGTCGGATACATCCTGAAATTGTGGAAAAAGTCCATAACAGCGGCATTGGTATCCTTCTTAATGATGCTCCAAGAGGCTTTGAAAAACTTGGCTCCAAAACCGTCAATACCGGGAGCTTTCAAGTCACTAATATCATTGAGGGCATTAATTATTTCAGCTTTAGTGATGGGACAGTCAAGCATAGATCTCTGATCACCAGTAATGTGTGGTCCATCCCTCATGGCAGTCAAATTGATACCCTCCAAGTCACCATTAGAACTCCCCATGAGGCTTCCATAAAAAGACAGCACCTCATTCTCAATTTCCTCAGTGGTGCTGAGAATATCCCCAGCCAGATTACACAACTCAGCAGTGTTACTACTGTTATGCCTAGATTTTACTTGGGCATGAAAAAAATTGTTGTTACCATCACCCAATCTGAGCCAGCTGATTTTGGATCGTTGGCTAAGAATTTGTTCCTCAATTTTACTCCAATAAACAACCTCAGTAGATATATTCTTAACAAGCTGAATCACATCAGGGTTATCAAGGTTGTCCCTGAGCTGCAATTGGGCTTCAATTAAATTATGTCTAGCCTTCTTTAAAGCAGAGGTAGTACCAACCAAAGGCTTGCTGAGATTCTTCACAATAATTTGGGTTCTATTCAGTTTCCTCCATAAAACAAACATAGGACTACCATGGATAGGGGCATTCCAACTTCTGGCAATTTCCTCCTGATACCCTTCCACCTCAGTTACACAGTTCAGGAACTTGAACTGTGTTGTTCTCTGCACAGCAGTCTCAGGCCTGGTAAGGATTAACAGAGCATGGTCAGAGATACCAGGGGTAAGAGCCTCGAGAGACATGTTTATATATTTTTGGAACCACTCTGTGTTGGCCAGCCCATGATCAATTCTGGAGTGGATAATATTTTCACCCTGCCGATTGGACCAAGTGTTGTATTCCCCAACAGACTCCACTTCACTTAGGTTACAAGTATTCATCATATCAGTTAGGTCTTGGTACTCTTTCACCTGCACCATTGAACCCCTTATTCTGTCAGCTGTTTGGATTACATTGTTAAAGTCACCAATGATAAACCACGGTCCTTGTTGGTGCTGATGAATATTCTCAATCTCATTCCATAGTTCCTTTCGATGGTCCAGCCTATTATCACCATACACTGCTGTAATCCAGAATTGGAATACCCCATTCATATCATAGACACTACAGTGAATCATTTGCCTAGAGATGTTAACTTTCCTTATCTCAGTTTTAGCATTGTTCCACCATATCCAGATTCGACCATTCAAATGGTGTGCATAGTTGTCCAAAAAAAATACCTTTAAGCCTCAACTTACATCTAATTTTGTCAGCCTTTTCCTGCTTCACTCTAGTTTCAATCAAAATGCAGATCATAGGGTTAAGAGAACGGAGGCAGGAGCTAACCTCTTTAGTCTTAACCATCTTATTCAGGCCCCTCACATTCCAAGAAATTAACATTGGATGGTGTTCAGGCTGCTAGCAGGATCATTCAAAATCCCCAGCATCCCAAATCCATTGTGGCAGTCGATAGCTTCCTCACCATTTGTAAGCATATTCCTTCTTCCTTTGCTATTGCTAGTTATCCTTGTCCATATCTCATTCTCAGGCTGTTGGATCCCTTCATCAATTGTCACTTTTCCTGGTGTTGCACCTGTAATAACCTTGTTTTTCTCATTCTCCTTTTGTGGCTGCACTTGGACTTTCACCCTCCATTCTTTAGCAGGCTGTGCAGGTCTGTCATAGTTATGTCCCACCTTATGGCACCGTTGGCAATACGATGGTTTCCACTCATACTCAATCAGTTGTTTTAGTCGCGCCCCTTTTTCATCTCTGATTAGAATTTCTGTTTTGAGCTCTTAGGTAATATCAACTTAAACCAGAATTCGTGCATAGGAGACCCTGAGTTTGTTTGTCGTGCATTCTTCAGTTACCAGTGGAGTTCCAATTGCACTTCCTATTTTACTAAGGCTCCGTGCCCCCTAGAGGTGGAGGGGAAGTTGGGGTAGTTTCACCCATAGCGGTATTGTTCTAAGCATATCCTTGTTCATACTAAAATCCGGTTTCCATTCACGCAACATCATAGGTCGATTATGGATTGAGTATGGCCCCTTCATCAAAACTAAGTCTTTGTCTTGGAATGAGTGGAATCTAAGGATGAAATAACCTTCCTCATTATAAAACATATCAGGTAGTTTAACAAAGTTCCAGGTTTTGCTCATAAACTGTTTCATCGCGTTCATGCTTAGATCTACACCCAAGACGTACATGATGAGAGCGAATTCCCAGAATTTCACTTCCTTCTCAACATCCTCTTCCTCAATTTGAATTTCCATTTCTCCGTCAACGATCTTTGGTGCAACAAATTCCATGGTGAGTCCTTTTGCCGGATTTCGATTTTCATTGATAATGTCAACCCAAAGTTTCTTCATTTGGCTAGCTTCTGCATCGTTGTTAGTTTCTTCGGAAGGCAAGTGATTTAGGGTTTCTGTATCAGTTGCCCTTTTTTCCTCCCCCACCTGGCTACCACAGTCCACCATTTCAGTTTCAGTTAGTGTTTTGTCTTCTACATCGTTTTCCTCCTCCATAGTATGCTGGTCAGTCACCGTAGGAATGGGTGTTGATGGTGGCACCAGTCGTGGCCGCCCGCGTCCTCTCCCTCTCCCACGAACCATTTCCTACAACTAATAGTTTTAATTTTAATATAACAGGAACAACTTTAATATTGATTTAAATAATTTTATAAATAATTCCAAAATAAAAATGTTTATATATACGAATTCAACAAAAGCGATATTTGTAATCATATATACATAAATTAGGAGATATTTGTATATATGAAAAAATTATATTTATTTTTTAAATATATATAAAAAATGTTCTTCTTTTAAAATTAAAATTTTTATAACAAAAACTATTTATTCTTATGAATTTTTGGTGTATTTCTATTTGTTCTTCATTTGTTCTTGTTATGAATATGTTGATTTTATTTTAATCATTACATTTAAAAGCTTATTTGCTGACAGCTTCATTTTTATATGAATTTTTTAATAACTCTACTAATCTTTCTCTACTACCCATACTACTTGTAATAGTTAATTATATATATATTATATACTATGTAGTCACCCTAATAATATCAATAATATTACTGTGACATGACAATAAATTCTAATTATAACCCAACTTCAATTTTGCATTTCTTTAATAGTATATCAATTTTTTATTTAATATTTATTGTCCTACACTTTTTTCAACTCTGCAACACATTTCATACATTACAATAAAATTTACATTGCAATTTTCATATCTATTTTTTCCTATGTTACATCCAAGACAATATAAACTACTTTTATCTTATTATAACAGTTTAGACTGAATAACTGAAAATACAATAAAATTATTTAAGTTTACTCAATTTAACTAAAGTTGTTTCTGTTAAAAAAAAACTTATATTTGACAAAATTATTTAAATTTACTCAATTTATCTAAAGTTATAAAGCTCTTTCACCAAATTGATCTATTACAAATTCAACTCTTTTTTAGATAGGTCTTGACATTTTGCTCAATACGGTCAAAAAGTAATAACTTTGTCCCACACATTATGTTATCCTTTCAATACATCATGGAATAGACATGTCCAGAAAATTTGCTTTCAAAATGTGCTTTCTGCATACTATTTCCTTGTAAAATACTAATGTCTACCTACCTGTAATATGTCACATCATGTATCCTTTACATTAATAATGTTTACTGCTGTAACTGGCTCATTTATATTTAGTTACATTGCAGAGCTTTATTATTATAATATTAAATTTAAGTTACTATTATTTTGTGTCGTATTTAATAATATTAAATTTTACGTCATAACAATATTAATAATTTTATTACACTTTATTAGAAACAAAATCATAATCAATAGTATAAAATTTTAAAGTTAAATAACTATTATTGTGTCAATTATACCATTGAATAATCATTACAATGTTAATAAATTTTATTACACTTTATAAAAAATTATCTATTTCTTTTAATATTATTTATTATTTAAAATTTAAATATATTTATTTACTTCAATTCATAAAATAATAATTATTTAAACACAAAAAAAAATAATTTTTTGTTTGAATAAAGGAAACTTTATATAACTTCAAAAGATATAATATACAAGGGTATAAGTATAAAATCCACCCACAAAACAATAAAAAAAAACCCATTAATCTATGAGAAGGTTAGCAATATGACGTCTAATACTAGTATGAACCCACCCTCTGCTAGCAAGGGTAAAGATAACTATATCTCTAATCTCCATGGTTTGCACTGTATTTCCAAAAACGGCGTGGTTATGATACTTCCAGATTTCGTATATAGTCTCCGCAACGGCGCTACGCAGGAGGCATTTCCGCCAACCCTTACCTTTGCACTGATGAATAATCCAATTCAGCTCTTCACGCCAATCACAGGGGGTGCGATGAATTCCCATCCAACTCAAAATATCCTGCCAACAACTTTGAAACAGGGGACATTGGAAAAACAGATGGTCAATCGTTTCTTCATTGTTGCAAAAATTACATATGTCATCCGTAGTAACTCCAAACTTTTTGAGCCGCTCCTTTGTCGCCAACCTACGGTGGCATGCCATCCAAAGCGTGAAAAGGGCTCTAGGTCTAGCAATAGTAGTAGAGAACATGTGGTTCCAAACCACATCAGGATCGTCCATTTTGAGGTAGTGGTAGACTTTACCAACGGAGTACTTCACCTTCATATCATCCCAATCTTCCATGTCAGTCACAATGTCTCTGTACCTCATAATGTTAGTGGATTTGAAGTAGAAGGAATGAATCCACTTGACCCAAAGGGAGTCCTTCTTATTACAAAGGTTCCAAAGCAATTTAGCTAAACAAGCTTTGTTCCACTCATACAGATCCAACATATTCAGCCCCCCCTTTCTCCGAGGCTTACAAATCGTCTTCCAAGCAATAGGGGATTTTATCGACTTTGACTCGCTGCCTGTCCATAGGAACATTCTGCAGATCGTATTGATAGTTTTAATCACACAGTTGGGGAAAGGAAGGCAGTACATCCAGTAGGCTGCCATAGTAGAGATGGTACTGTTAACCAATTGAGTTCTACCAACATAACTCAACAACTTAGAACTCCAATGTTGAATCCGGCTAACAATCCTATCAATTAAACTCATATAGTGGTGAGCTGACAGTCTTTTGCTGGTGAGGGGAATCCCTAGGTAACAAAATGGCAGCTCACCTTCCATAAAAGAAGTAGATGCCAAAATATCCGCTTTAGTCTCATTATCAACCCCTCCAAAAAAAACCTTACACTTTGCCGGATTCACCACTAAGACAGTGGCTTGAGAAAACATATGCAGTTTATCCATTAGCAGCTTGACAGATTGGGTATCCCCACGGGAGAAGAGAAGGACATCATCAACAAAACTGATGTTGATGATTTGCAATTTTTCGCACTTAGCATGAAAGTTGTAATTTGGAATTTTTCTTAATTGGTGCAGCAAGCGGTGTAAATACTCCATAGTTAAGACAAATAGAAGGGGGAAATGGGGTCCCCTTGCCGAAGTCCCCTTTTTTGCCTTCATACATCTCGTAATGCTTCCATCGACCTTAAACTTGTAGGACACCATAGATACTGCCAGCATAACCCACTTGGTGAATTTTTGAGGGAAACCCAATTCCTTGAGGATGCACTCAAGGCCATTCCACTCCAATGTATCATAAGCTTTTTGGATGTCAATTTGCAGTAGACATCTAGGAGTACTTCCTTTCCTGTTGTAGCCTTGTATAAGCTCATAAGCTAGCAAAATATGTTCATGAATGTTCTGCCCAAGAATAAAAGCCGCCTGATTATGGTTGACAATTCTGGTAAGGACTGAACTCAATCTATTCGTCAAAATTTTTGATATGATTTTGTAGATAGTAGTGCAGCAAGATATAGGTCTGAAGTCCTTCACAGAATTCCCACTATTTCCTTTAGGAATCCGAGAGACAAGAGTGCAATTGACAGCCGGATACATATTAAAGTTGTTGAAAAAATCCAGGACAACGGCAGTTGTATCCTCCTTAATGGTGCTCCAAGATGCTTTGAAAAATTTGGCTCTAAACCCATCAATACCAGGAGCTTTCAAGTCACCAATATCTTTGAGAGCCCTACTAATATCAGCATCAGTTATGGGACAATTCAACATGGCCCTCTTCTCCCCAGTAATTTGAGGACCATCTCTTATGGCAGTAAGGTTGATTCCTTCTAATTCACCATTAGAACTCCCCATGAGCTTACCATAAAAAAACAGCACCTCATTTTAATTTCCTCAGTGGTGTTGAGGATGTCACCAGCCATATTACACAGACCAAAATTGTTGTTACTGTTCTGCCTGTTCTTAACTTGGGCATGAAAGTAGCTGTTGTTTCCATCTCCCAATCTGAGCCAGCTAATTTTGGATCTTTGGCTCATCACCTGTTCCTCAATCTCACTCCAATAGACAACCTTAACAGATCTATCCTTAACTAGCTGAATCACTTTCGGGTTCCCCAAATTTTCCCTAAGCTGCACTTGGGCTTCCATCAACTTCTGTCTAGCATGAATGAGAGACGAGGTGGCACCAACCAAAGGCTTGCTGAGATTTTTCACAACACTTTGGGTTCTAAGCAGCTTCCTCCACAACACAAACATATGGCTGCCATGGATAGGGGCATTCCAGCTTCTAGCAATGTTCTCCTGATAACCCTGCACATTTGTCACACTATTTAGGAACTTGAATTGGGAGGTGGAAGAGCCTCAAGAGACAAATTGGTATACTTTTGAAACCATTCTGTGTTGGCCAGACCATGATCAATTCGAGAGTGTATAATGTTTTCACCCTGCCGGTTGGACCAAGTATAGAAATCACCAACAATATCCATTTCACTAAGGTTGCAATTGTTCATCATATCATTAATTCCTTTGTAATATTTCACTTGCACCAAGGATCCACATTTTCTGTCATCTGTGCGAATAACATTGTTAAAGTCACCAACAATAAACCACGACCCCTGCTGATTCTGATGAATGTATTCAATCTCATTCCATAAAACTGTACAATGGTCCAGTCTGTTAGCATCATACACAGCTATAAGCCAGAACTGAAAAACCCCATTCATATCATAGACTTCAATCATTTGACCAGAGCTAGTAACTTTCCTAACATCAGTTTTGGCATTGTCCCACCAGATTCAGATTCTGCCATTCACATGGTTACTATAGTTATCCAAAAAACTACCTGTACTCCTCAATTTACATCTAATTCTGTCAGCTTTTTCTTACTTCACTCTGGTTTCGAGCAAAATGCAGATCATAGGGTTAAGAGAACGGAGGCGGGTACTAACCTCTTTAGTCTTAACCCTCTTATTCAGGCCCCTCACATTCCATGACACTAACATGGGGATTTAAGATTGCTGGCAGGATCATTCGAAATCCCCATCATCCCAAATCCATTTTGGCATTGGATAGATCCCTCCTTATTGGTTGGTCCTTTCCCTTTCCCTTTACTGCTACTAGTGATCCTCGTTCATGCCTCATTCTCCGGTTGTTGAACCTCTGCAGTTGTTATGACTTGTCTTGGTGTAACACTTGCACCGGTCTGGTCTTTCACATTCTCCTTCTGTGGTTGCACTTGCACTTGCATTTGGCCCTTCACCCTCCATTCTTTAGTTGGTTTTTCAGGTTTTTCACAGTTATTCCCCACTTTATGGCATCGTTGGCACTATAAAGGTTTCCACTCATACTCAATCGGTTGTTTCATTCGCGCTCCCTTTTCATCTCTGATTAGGATTTCTGTTTTTAACTCTTGTGTAACATCAATTTCCACAAGGATTCGTGCATAGGAGACCCTGAGTTTGTTTGCCGTACATTCATCAGTCACCAGAGGAGTTCCAATTGCACTTCCTATTTTACTAAGGCTTCGTGCCCCCCAAAGATGCAGAGAAGTTGGGGAAGCTTCACCCATAACGGTATTGTTCGTAGCATGTCCTTGTTCATACTGAAATCAGGCTTCCATTCGCGCAGCATCATAGGTCTATTACGGATTGAATACGACCCCTTCATCAGAACTAGTTCCTTATCGTGGAATGAGTGGAAATGAAGAATGAAAAAGCCTTCCTCATTGTAGAACATCTTAGGTAGTGTCATAAAGTTCCAGGTTCTTCTCATGAACTGTTTCACTGCATTCATGCTTAGGTCAACACCCAAGGCATACATAATGAGAGCAGATTCCCAGAATTTCACTTCTGCTTCAACATCCACTTCTTCAATCTGAATTTCTACTTCTCCATCAATAATCTTTGGTGCAACAAATTCCATGGTGAGTCCCTTCTCCGGGTTACGATTTTCATTGATAATGTCAACCTAGAGCTTCTTTGGTTGGGTCACTTCCACCTCCTTCTTGGCTTCTTCAGTAATCACTTGATTTAGGGTTTCGATATCAGTTATCGCTACTTCCTCGCCCGCCTGGATAGCACACTCCAAATTGGAAGCTTGCACTTCATCAATCCCAGAGTTTTCCTTATCCACAGTATTTTGATCAGACACCGTTGGGTTGGTTGTTGGCGGTGGCACCAAGCGTGGCCGCCCTCTCCCTCTCGCCATCTTTTTTATTATTGAAATTCTGGTATGCATATCACATGTGTTCCAAGAACATTGATCTCTGCTCAACAAGGATGAGGATAGATCATGACCAATTTAAATTTCTTTAAATTGTCCCAATGTCACAACCTCTATTGTGACATCTGCAGTCTGTCATGCTATTTATCTAACCATTTAACTTACAGAATTGTAAATGCAGAAAGATAAATAACACAGTAATTGTTCACCCAGTTCGGTATCAACAACACCTACATCTGGGGGCTACCAAGTCAGGGAGGAAATTCACTATTAGTAGAATCAATTCAAAGTCAAACCTCCAATTTGCACTTCTCACTTAATCTCTACCTAATGACACTTCAGCCTAGAGACACTCTAGTGCCTGAGTATACCCACTCACTCCCCTACTATCACACAACAGTGATATCAAACAATTACAAAGACAGTATGAAGAGACACTTCATACACACCTCGATCTTGCTTCACAGCTTTCATCAAGGAACTCACACACTCTTGCTTCACAGCTTCGAGTGAGACACAACCTAGAATCCACCTAACCAATACAATTATCCATCAAACAATTGTTTGGATTACAAGTATTCCTAAACAGACTTTGCACGTGAAGAACATCCCTTTTCACTTACAATTATGTCTACCACAATGCATCATACAACGCAAAGGGTGACTTACACAAGGGACTCTCAACCCTAGACCTCTATTTTACACTCTGATTTTTCTTGATGTGAGTGCTTGCTTTTCCTTTGCTTCTGCGCCTCCTTTTATAGCACTGCAGGTTGGGCTTGGGCTGTGCAAAAGTAACAGATATTAGTTTTAATAAATCAAAACTAATTTCCACAATTCAAGGTGTTGTCCCATTAGGTCATGGCATGGTCAGCATTGCCTTGAATTTCTCCTGATATAACTTAGGGGTCATGACAAGTCTTCTTGGAATCTAGCCTGAGATAGCTGAAAAACCAACACGCCTTCACGACTGATGTCATACGATCATTGTTATGGCATTCAGTATGACATCCACTCTTCTGCAGATTCTTCTTTACACCAGACCTGGCTTCACCCAATCATCTGCAGAATAACATTAGAAACAAGTATATTAAAGTTTCTTAAAAGGTCTCCAAGATCCTTTTATGAATACCAATACAGTATGTTCTTATTCCTAATCCATCTCCTTGACATATTTACCGATGAGGTATTTTTAACATGGTCTCATCAATACAAACCAATTTTGTCAAGAGATATGCACTAGCAGCTCCTTCTATTGTCATGCAACAATGTCTTGCTTAAGACACATGACAACACACCTCACTCACTGCCTGTGAGGAGCTTCATCACAACTTAACCTGTTGTGGCTGCATACCTCACACTGCATGTGAGGAACTAGGCTACTGCTACCCCATAGCAGTGCCTGTTGTGCCAGACAGCTATGTCATTACTTTGGTGATGACATCCATGACAGCTATCCTTACTGTTAACCCATAGTAGTGCCTGTTGTACCAGACAGCTATGTCATTACTTTGGTAATGACATCCATGACAGCTATCCTTGCTTCAACCTCTGTTAGCTCCTGCTTGCTCTTACTTCACTCGACCTTGATGTCAGCCTCTGCTAGCTCCTGTTGCACATAGCTCCTGTTGCATCCATGACACCAGTTATGTCATCTGCTTTTATTAGCTCCTGCTGCACCAGATGTCACCCCATGACAGCAGTTCTGTTATTCATATGTCATTACTTTGGTAATGGCATCCATGTTCAAACCACATGACAGCAGTACTTTCATCAGCTCCTGCTTGCTCCTTTAGTGATGTCATAACTATGGTAATGACATCCTGCTTAACATTTGTGCAGAATCTTGTTTTACCACAATTTAGCCAATCATAAAACCATGGACAATTCTCTATCTTAGAACCATGGAACCAACAAACTCCCCCTTTGGCAAATTTTGGCTAAAATAACTTATCAGGACATTCAACAGTAGTTTACACAAACTATCATGCTTCCCCTTGATAG